GTTTCCATTCATTGCTCATTTGACAATTTTAATGTATGCATACTTTAAATAGGCAAAAAAATTGTTTTTCCGTTTCAGTTATCGATTTGTCGTTTCTTTTTGCCTTTAGTATTTCGTAAGTGTGTTTTTATCATAAGGTGACAAAGGACCAAACTTCCACTTGAATTCGTAAAGACCGCTGCCCACAGACTTTCAAATTGCAGATGTGTTGCTCCAACTTTTAATCGTCGAAGAAGGGGACGCTCAGAAGGGACTAAAATTAAGCCTCCGGTACCCAAATCATATTAGACGAAACGCTTGTTTTCTTTGTGGACATAATATTTCATCGGTCAAGCTGGCCCATTTGTGCACAGATGCTGTTGTTGCTGGGGTCTACCACTGTGTTATATAAAATGAAAATCAGGTTCTGTTGTGTTTTCAACAATAGAATATGACGAACTTAATATGGTAAGATTACGTAGTTGTAGGTACATAAATTCTTTTGTTAATATTATAGTGGCGTATAAAAACGAGCAGAACTGACCTGTTATACGCAGTTTGTCAATGTATATGATACGTAACATCTCACGTGATGCGATGGAGCCTCAATAATCCGTGGTCCACGACGCCACTCGCCACTCCCATACTTTCACCCGGAAAAATTACAAAGGTCGATTCCGAGCTTCCTAACGATTATTTTAGCTCCTTACCATCTTCAGCTTATATATTATGAAGTCAGCTAATAAAACGGAGAAATTTGAACGGGCGGAACGGGAAGTACGTGTACAAAATGAAAGAGATGGCATTATGTTTTCTGTAAGATATAGCTTTTGGAAACATGAGATCGAAAATACAAATTTTGATATATCTTACTAATATATCCGGAATACTCAGCAATACCTGAACGGATCTTGCTAAAGGTATAGTTATACAACGAAGTCTGGAAGAACACATGGTACATAGGGTATTAATTAAGTTTTTTTTTATATCGTCAGGAAGAAGGCAAAAGTTAATAATATTTCACTTTCTGATATTCTTAACTTTAAATGTTATGAAGCTAGTCTACTTGAAAATCAGTCTAGAATCTTAAAGGGCTAACAATGTATATATTACGTATAACCTTACGGAGGAGACGTGGCGAGGCAGTTGTTAAATAAAAATAATTGTAGGACATTGATATCATAAATGGTGCGTTTCCGTTTAAAAGCCAGAAATGCATTTTTATTACATACCAGACCTTGTAATAGACCTTGCAACACACCTTAGGACGGATATAAATAATTCATGGATACATTTATATTTATAGTATGCATCATATATGATTCATCCATTTTTTAAAAAACTTTTTACTAGGTTTTGTGTTCTTTTTGGTTGATCAATAAAGTATTTATCGGAAAATTCAATCATACAAAAATTGGGTCAGCGGTTTGGCTCGACAACAAAAGTTTATGCGCAGTGTTAATTCCGCAACTGCAGAATAATATTATAGTTGTTGTAGTAAAATAGTTTTCTAATATCTTGGAGGCTCTTAAGTTGGCGCCAATTCTAATTAAAAAAAAAAAACTCGTGACCAAAGCATTGCTTCGCTGGCGCAAATTAAAAAAGTAGTGAACTACATATTACGTATTATTTACAATAAGACAATATAAATGTTAATTAAAATCTCTACTTTTAGATAGTATTACTTTGAATAATTTGTGTGCTTTCGTTACAAAGTCAAGTGTCAGAAAGAATAGTGAGGAACATAAACGTCAATATTTTAGTAAGGCTAGTGTTAAGTCAATACACTGCCACATTTTCAGATTTTCTTCCTAACACTACCTACTACTCTAGTTCTTTGATTATATTTCCTCATATTCATTCATATCTTACTTAAAGTTTTACTACCTACATATAACACTTGTATTTAAATAAACTATGGTCTGTATTTTTACTACCTACTTATAGAAATTTTAAGATCAAGCTGACAGCATCATGTCAGAATTAAATCACAAGCTATAAAAATATTTCATTGAGTCGCATCGCTTTGATTTATTGTGCAATCGTGACCTTCTCTCGACATGTTTTATTGCAAATTACTGTAACAGTAGGTTTCCATGGCCGGAACATTCATATAAAACATATTGACATCCCTTTCATTTTCTTTAATAAAACAGAGATAGCAGTATCTTTTGTACTAGTGTTTTGACCATGGAAACCCATCGATACTGTTATAGTCATGTAAGTAATGTTCTAGTATCGCTGGTGACATTGACTTGGCTGAAGAAAAGCTCGAGATAATTTTCATTATTACAGTTGAATAAGCTTAATTATATTGTTTTTTGTATGCTGTTGTTTAACAAAGTATGAAAGTCATGTTATTAATTACCTATTATGTAAAGTTTTCGACTTTCTTCAAAATATTGTTAATAAGTTTCATATTCGTATGTCACAGTCTTTTCGTAAATCAAACGAACTGTAAAGGTTCACTGAGCAAAAGCTTGTTTATAAACGTACGTACGATTTGAGAACATCCTATTTTTTTAAGTCGATTAAAATGCATCAATTACTATAAACTATATTTTACGGATATTACATTCAAATGATATCAATTTTAAGGTAGTAATTTAGACAATCGGCATCAATTCTGGCATGATTATAGACGTCAAAATAAATATAAAAGCAATGACAAGGTTGTTTAATAGTGATCGTTGAAGTCAATTAAAATAAGCTCTCAAGGATCATCACGTAGTGCGTGCTACAGATATTGTCTGTTTGGCAAAACACTAATTACAAATGCTTTATTACGATCCGCAGTTCACGGGCGGAGCTTTGAGGTCAAAGATTTGTAGATTAACAATACCTTTCGGAATTCGATCGATCTTTATCACGAAAATCACGTTTAACTAAATTGATTTACGATTATTGGGTCAATTATTTCTTATTCAGTAAATTCAATTAATTTTCTACTACGCAAACATATTATTGATATATTTTTATGTACTTAAGTGTGAATATTTTTGGTGGGTTTTTAAAACCGAAACTCTTATAGTACTAAATTATATGTTATCCATTTTATCCTCTCTAAATATTATAATTCGACACAATTTTTTTTTCAGACGTTACAGAAGCGGTAGCTTAGCGTAGAAGATTATACCTATTAAGTCTTTCGAGTGAGCGGACACTCATGATCAAAATATTTATGTAAGATGTAGTCGCTAGATGTCAAACCAAAAATTAAGGGAGGTTAAATGGTCATTATTTATTAAAGAATAGTATTCATTTGTTTAAGTTTATATCAACTTTTTTTATCAAATAACAATCTTATATATAAAATTCTCGTGTCACAATTTTCGTTTCTATACTCCTCCGAAACGGCTTCATCGATTCTTATGAAATTTTGTGAGCATATTGATTAGGTCTGAGAATCGGCCAACATATATTTTTCATCCCCCTAAATGTTAAGGGTAGTCCACCCCTAATTTTTTTAGTCAAACACGCGGACGTAGTTGCGGGCGGCAGCTAGTATCCTTATAAATAAATTGATTGAAATTTATTCATTTTTTGCTGTAACTCTTCCTGGTATATCATGCGTATTCAAGGTTAATTGCGCGGATTGATAATTGAATTATAATAAGGAAATTAAAGAACAAACACGGGACTAATCTCAATTTTGTTTGCACGTTTCAAACTCAAATATTTTATCACGCGTGACGTGACTGCGACTCTAGATGCATACAACCTTGTCACGTCTCTTGCTGGTATCCAGTTTGCTAACGATACCTTCGATGATTCCTAGTACTTTATTTGTCTTTCAATTAGAGTACTTTTATTGCGTCAGGTATTTTGAATATTGGTTGAAGTACTTATCGTAGGTGTTGCACATTTGGCAATCGCGATGTTTTGTTTTTAAACATTGACTTTAGATGCCATGTTATGCTGCAGACATTAAAGTGCAGACGATTCTCAACTATGACAACGTTTGTGTGATAATTTTAGAAAATTGCATTATTCTTTGATCTGTTTGTCTTGTTTTATTCGTTTCCGACAACAAAATGGACAGCTGTGTTCTTTACATAGAAAGCAAAATTTTATTTGATTAAAACAAATATAATATTTGTTCAAATATTGTGATGAATGAGTTGTGTAAAGTTGTATAAATATCGGAATCGTAATAAATGAATATAACGAATTTATGTTTATGATTGTTTTTCTATAGTGTGCCGACCCTCTGTAAGGATAAAGGCAGGTTAATGATGATGATATTTTTGATTATACGAAAGAAAAGCTTGGAGTATTTCCCCGCTTATTTGATAAAAATTTTCAATAACATATAACTACATGGAAGACATAATTACATATAAAGATCAAATGCTAATCAAGGTTTAAAGGCATTACTAAATTAACTACTTTTTTAGCTTTATCTCATATATTATGTTGTCTAGCCGCGTTTACTAAGTGAGCGTTTTCTGCTACAAGGAATTATCGCTAATAACGTACAAATCTATTCGCACGCATCTTTTGCAACGAGAACATCTGCATAAATACTCTTTCGTCATATTTAATTATTACTTACCACTTACTACAGTTTGCTTTGGTAAATAAAGGGATATTTAATATATTAGTAACAATGGCAATTGGGTCGTGTTAAACTGATAGCGAGGAAAGTTGTTTTAAGCATGAACGTAGGTAGTTATACTGTATAGATCTCCTAAGAATAAATAATTGGATTGCATGAAAATAGCTATTATTATTTAAAAATTGTTGAATACGATATAAACTAAAAATCCTTGATGAAAATTTAAATACAATTTGATTGAAAAAAAAATCACACAAAAACACTTATTTTATGAATTAAACTTGCATCGATTTTAAACGTTTGTTACTATGAAAATATTGTAAAGTAATATACATTTATTGTAAAGTACATAAATTAAAACCAGTAATGCGAATGTACTTTTTTAAGTTTTATTTTAGTTTACTCGTGTTGTGTGTTTTTTATAATTATTTTTAATAGTAAATTTGTAACTAACATTACTTACCATTTTAATTTCTTCTTAATATTATCCGTATTAAACTGAAAAAGTTGTCATAACTCCTATTTCCATAAAAAAAATCGTATTCGTATTATTTCGCGCCAACTTCGATCGAAGGTAGCCAGTGCGCATGCGCGACGGAACCGCGCGGCTTGTCTTCTGCCCCGTTTGCCGCGCTTTGCCTAACCTATCCTCACTCACTACTTCACCACTCACCACAACATAGACGCGTTCTTTCTTCACAAACGAAAAGCACGTGATGCGCCTTATGAAAGCATTGGCCGTGGGATACTAGAACTTTTGCATTATCTAGAGTTGATTTAATTCTTCGTCCACTAATGTAGATACAATATTATGCATCGTACGGAAGCTTGTTAGATTGCTTGTTTGTGTATACATTAGTGTTGGATTGCAGTCAGCTATGTGCCGTGCACTTGACTGCAAATAAATACGGAAACATTTTATGTACCGCTCGGAAATACATGGATTGTTTTATAAATAGGTAAAAGGATTGGAGTAAACAAATGAGTATAGTCTAGCGATCTTAGAAAGTTATATATTTTAGTGTTATTAGTTTTGACGTAATTTACGGTTTAGTATGTAAAAATTACTAGTTTTTGCGAAACTATCGTCTAACGCAATTACTTAAAAGGAGATTCTTCGACATTATTATTATTACCCATTGTTTTACATATTTTACATTACGCAGATTTCTTCTTGACACAAATTTTGCGTTTATTTATCGAATGTAATAATATGAAATTTGCATTTTAAATATACCCGAATTCCTAAAAATGTAGATACACTGTACTAATGTGAAAATAGAATTTACATAAATTATTCTCAACAACTTTGTTGATATACTATAAACTTCAATAGAATCGCTAACAACTCATTGGTACGCCTTTTGTACACGACTTATGCCAAAATTGTTCTCTTCCCCTGCCTTAATTTCCTTAATGTCGGGAATGTATATACTCCGTCCATACTTTAGATTATATATAGTTAATATCGATCGTATACATACGCGTATCGTTTTTTTTATATTTCTTTGTTAATAGTTTTTATTTTGATTTTATTATATTGACTGAAAAAAAATCACATTACTTTTAAGCCTTTGTCTTTAAAAAAGAAATAAGTGACAACATGTCAAATTTTAACTGGTCTTTGTGTACGATATATTTATTTATTTTGAATAATATCAATGTTTAATTTTATAGACGATGTACGTGAGGAGCTTTTAAAAGAATTTATCAATATTCTTGATAGTATTTCTTTAAGAAGTCACCATCTTTATGATCTAATAACTGAAAATTTAACTTTAGTTTTAAGGTCACACTTAAGAAAACCAAGATGTGGAGACAAATTTTTAGTATGAACTGAAGTTATTTTATGATACCTGACTAATGATTTTAAATTACAAGTGATGTCATAATGGAAAACGATGCAATTGAGAATGACACTGTTGACAAAGTGAAATCTGAAATAGCACCTGCAGAAACTGATAATGTAGAACAACCAGAAAATGTAGGACAAACGGAAAATGTAGAACAGACAGAAAACGCAGAGCAGCCAGAAAACGTTGATGTGCCAGAAAATTTAGACCAGCAAGAAAATGTTGACCAGCCTGAAAATGTACAGGATGAACCAACCGATGAGACTCAAGCAATAGAAGGGGAAGAAAATAAAGAAGAGAAAAAGGAAGAAAAACCTGAAGTAATTGAGGATGTTGTAGAAGAAGAGGAGCAATTCGTTGAAGAACCACCACCGGATCCCGCGGCGCCGTACAATCTTACAGATTCTACAGAAGCTCTCAAACCGCCCTTTGCACTTCGACATGATCAGTTAGCTGAAGTGGAACAGCTTTGGGATGTTTATCAAGATTATAACCCAGCCTATACCGACATAGACAATTATATTACTGAAAAAGAATTGATTTACATGCTAAAAGCTTTGCTTCTCATGACTTATACACCTGAACAGTTGCAAGAATTAATAGATTTTTGTGTTAGACCCCCACATCCAGATGGTCATATCACGTTCGAACAATTTGTCAAAATAGTTACAATAAGGCAAAGAGCTATTCCCATTGAGGAAGAATTAAGATTAGCTTTACAATCTCTCGATCCGAATAAAACAGGTTTGATTGATAGAGAATTTTTCAAGGAGTTACTTTCGAAACAAGGTCACAAATTACCGCCGAAAATGTTGGAAAACCTTATAAAAGAGGTCGATCTTAGCAATGATGGTACTATTGGCATTGAAGATGTGGTTGGGACATTAGGTATTGATTTGAATAAAGATGATATTGCAATGTTGAGGGCAGCAGTGTTCCCCGACGAAAATCCGCCTAAGGAGGAAGAAGAATTTTAATTACTTATAAATTGCCAATGTATATATATATCATTTAAAATGTTTGTAAAATAGTTGCAAGTTTTCTTTACGTGCTTGATTGTTACTTTTATGTTGTGGTTATAATAAATAGTCCATCTTTTTCAATAATGTTTGCATTTGCCGTTATAAGATCTTAATTACATGTCTTTAATAGCTTTATGCAGTTTTGATTTGTAAATATTGCCTACTGTATGCAGATGCAGCAGGCATATTTCTTACCGCTTATCGCAAAACTGTAAATATATTTCAGTTATAACGATAACAGCGACACTTGAGACTTTTGGTAAATTTTTACGCAGTGTAAAATATAATAATACTAGCTGTGGGCGACAACTTCTTCCCACGTGGAATTAAAAAAACTTAAGTAGTAGCCCATGTGTTTTTCCTGTGTGCTAAATTTCATGAAGATCTGTTGAGCTGTTCTGGAGTAGCTTCCGACGTGGCGTCGTGGCGTCCCGGTGACCAAAGAGTATATAAAATAAGAGACGGGACTCTCGACTAATTGGATACACAAACGGAGAATAAAAATTGACATTTTCAATGCTAGCAATATTATGAACAAGTCTACGTTGCTACCAACCTAAAAAAATCTATCTGACAGTTTCCTTTTTGACGTTTGAAAGTATTATTCGAGGGAAAACAATTTAGGAAAAATAAAACAATTTCGTTAATTGCAACTTTAATTTAATCTTCTGACTAAAGCGAACATATTTTAAGAACGCAACATAATGCTCATTGCTTTCGTAATAATACCATTATTGTTTAGTTCACCAACAAAATACCCCAACTATAATATAAATGCTTATTTGTTCCAGTTTGTTTATTTGATAGCTCATATTTTTTGATAGAACTGGAGTAGTAGTGCCACTCTCGTCGGGAGAAATAGCACTGGAAAGAGATTAGCTCCTATCTGTTGGTAAAATATTTGTAAAATTGCTAACAAGACAATATGCATTGAAGCAAAACAAATCGTCATCATCAAGCTCACTATACGGACACACTATATTCCACTGAGGAGCTTCTTCTTCTTCTTCCCGTTCGCCCGTTCGACCGTTCGCCCGTTCGACCGTTCGACCGTTCGCCCGTTCGACCGTTCGCCCGTTCGCCCGTTCGCCCGTTAGCCCGTTCGCCCGTTCGACCGTTCGCCCGTTCGACCGTTCGCCCGTTCGACCGTTAGCCCGTTCGCCCGTTCGCCCGTTCGACCGTTCGAGCGTTCGCCCGTTCGACCGTTCGACCGTTCGCCCGTTAGCCCGTTCGCCCGTTCGCCCGTTCGCCCGTTAGCCCGTTCGCCCGTTCGCCCGTTCGACCGTTCGCCCGTTCGACCGTTCGCCCGTTCGACCGTTCGACCGTTAGCCAGTTAGCCCGTTAGCCCGTTAGCCCGTTCGCCCGTTAGCCCGTTAGCCCGTTAGCCCGTTAGCCCGTAGCCCGTTAGCCCGTTGTCGTCGTCGTCGTGGTCGGAGAAACACTTTTCTCAACGCCATCTATAGTGGTTGAGGACTTCGTGGGCGTCATTTAGGGTAAAGTGCAAGCACAAAACACGATGACCCAACTCGATCCGTCTCCACTTCACGACTATATTTGTAACAACTGTCAAAACGCCTTATATAAAGATGGTGCCTCGACCCCTCTTAAGCCAGGTGCTCTGCTCTGATTGGTCGTTACTTATATTACGATAATAATGTTATTTAGTCTAGGAAAAACGTAACTTTTAAAGTAAGATCAAATTAAAAGTTATAAGAAGCTTTTACAATATCAATAAACATTAAAAATTGCACACTATGCGTTAAACAGTAATTCAGTTGACAATGGCTACTTAATAACTTCCTACTTTAAATGTATTGTTAGCTGAGGGTGGAACTTAAAAATAATGGTGGGGTGATGCCAATATAAGAGACCGCACCTCATTTTCGGGACACACTCGCCACCGAACACTGAAGCCAGCGGATGCTCTGCCCGTTTGACTAGCCAAAATAATTAATCATTTTGACTCTGATAGTTGATCAAGTTAATGTTATGTTACGAAATCATTTAAGTGTTAATTTAATTCAATCAATTTTGTTAGTTTTCTTATTAATTCAAAAAGTACTGTAGTAGTGTATAAGAGATTGTTTTTTTAATTTTCCCTGCTTCTGATCCTTAAGATCAGAAATGGGATAGTGAAACTCCCACGTCCTTGTTTGTACATCCTGATACGATGTGTTTCCATTGTTATTTCTTTAATTGGCTAGTCATACGATCAGAAATATATTTTTGGAAATTGTAACTACCCTTGTTTAAAAGGACAAATTAGCACTTTGTTTTCGGTGTTTCGTATAATATACGTAAGTAAGACGCGATGTGACGGTGTGATCAAGTTTTATAATGTCAACTTTGGTGAGTACGTTCCAATTGTTTTCTTCTCCGCTTTAAAATAACAAATAGAAGTTGTATTTGTTAGCTTTTTGTGTAAATTTTAGAATGGCTCAATTTTAATATTTTGTCGTGTCTACCCTATTGATCAATTATTTACCGTAACTTGAATGCCCTGTTTAGCGTAGGTACGCTTTTGGAGAGGACTACTTTTAGTTTGGCGGTGAGCTTACGTCTAGGGGCCCGGACGAACGAACCCCATCGCTGTCGTTGTGGGGTAGACGTCGATCCTCTTGGTCATCACGGTTTAGCATGTCGTCGCAGTGCAGGACGCATTCCGCGCCATGCTGCTTTAAATGACGTCATCCGTCGAGCCCTTGCCTCTTCCGGCGTGCCGGCAGTGCTTGAACCCAATGGCATTGCCCGAGACGATGGCAAGAGGCCACATGCGTGGACACTGTTGCTCCATCCCACGTGAGAGCGACCGCTCGTAAAGCCGGCGCAGCTGCGGCGACAGCCGAAATCAATAAAAGGCGTAAATATGCGGCGTTGGCAGATCCGTATATATTTGCGCTTTTTGCCGTGGAGACCTTGGGGCCTTGGGGTGCGGAAGCCCGTCGCCTGTTTAAGGAGATTTCCGCACGCCTCATCGACGCCTCAGGGGATCCAAGGGCTGGCGCGCATTTCGGCCAAAGGTTGAGCCTGGCCATCCAACGGGGAAATGCCGCCAGCCTCTTGGGAACCCTACCGTGCGACCGCAGCGATTTGGGGTCGATTTTTTATATTATTTAGTTTTATTTTTAGTTTGGTTGTTAACAATTTTACAAATATTTTACCAACAGATAGGAGCTAATCTCTTTCCAGTGCTATTCTATTTCTCCCGACGAGAGTGGCACTACTACTCCAGTTCTATCAGAAAATATGAGCTATCAAATAAACAAACT